TCGTATCTCTCTCTCTCTCTCTTTTTTCTTTCTCCCTCCCTCCTTCTCTTTCTTAACGACGCCGTAGTTTACAAAGTGTCTCCGTACGATTTCATGCCGAGGAAGCCTCCGGCGGCGATGCCGATGCGGAGTCCGATCGCGGTGTCCTGCGATAGTCGTCGTTTCCGAGATACTTTCCTCTGATACGCGATCATCCTTCGTGCCGTCTGATTTCCGCGCTATGAAATCTGTCGCACGCATCCAAAGATGATCATCTTCAGTGGGGAGAGAGATCCTGAGATGATAAAATTCGAATATCGAAAGCGAAGTATAGATTTTTCGGAAGCGATAACTGCGCGATACGAGCATGTAAAGGTCTGGAATATCGTTAAAATTGCCACGGTACGAGGGGTCAAAGGTCTTGCAATCCGAGACCTCGACGGATGATGGATTACGAGTAGACGCGAGGAGGGACGAGATTATAATCCCTGTTGGACGACGAACTTCCACGTGAATGAGAAAATTTTAGGAGGAACCTCCCCTTTCATGCCCGTTTCTGCGGCATCATGATTTAAATCTAATCGACGATCGTCTCAACGGAATTGACTGATCCCATCGATCAGTTCAGTTAATTGTCAATGCGATTGGTCAATTTTGTCGAGTTAATCGTCGATCAGATTTAAGGCTCCTGATTACTTGCTGTGGCTGTTCTAGTTTAGTAATCTCAGAAGCGAGAAATGTATATTAAGATTTATTGCGTTATAATAATAATAATCTTTATTACGCATTAGTATACATAAAAGTAAAGTAAAAATATCGATAAAAGCAGATGATAATAGGCAAACATGCAACAGGAGGAAAATCATAGGAATGTATCTCAAAAATAAATATAAAAATATAAAACTCATACGCGTAACAGGAGATTTAAACATAGTTAAAATTTCATAGTTAGTTATACTTTCAAATAACAAGATATATCCACAAAATAACATTTGTGATCGATTTAGCACATTTCTAAAATTGAGACATTTTTTTACTCGAGCAATCAATGAACAGACGTAAAGCTAAAAGTGACGAAATCTTGGGAAAAGAGGTCAGAAAAGAAAATTACATGTTAATTTTGCGACTATTTATCGATTGCTCGAGTAAAAAAACATGTTCATCGTCCAATTTTAAGGGTGCTGAATCGATTATAAATGTCATTTTTGGCATAAAAATCTTGGTCCGCATTTATTCAATTCTGACGTCATTAAACAAGGACAACCAAAACGAGTAGTCCGGAACCTTAAATAAAACCATGATAGTAAAAACAGGCATTAATTCGATTTTTTCCAGTTGCCATCGCGACGAGCCAATATTTCATTTCGCGTCGTTAATGTTATTTACCAGGTAACTAATTAATGAGAAGAAAGATCCAAAATCGCGGTAAAATTAAAATATACGACTCGGCGGCGATTTTGGGAAAAAAACGCTCACTTGATTATATATCGCAGGCTAATCCCGTAAACGTGCCGCACTATTATGAGCCCGTCCATCCGTCCGTCCGTTCGTCGTCGGCAACGAGATTCCCGCGCTTCTCCAGGGCCCCGGCTAAGGTTATGGTTTGCTCTAGGAGTGCATTAACCCCTGTCGGATCGCGAGAGCACACCGTAGAAGAAGTGCACAACCGTCGCGGGCG